GTCACGCTCCTGTCAGTTAGTCCGGCCGCCCACAAACCAACAAACAACCACGCTGAACAACAGAAACCACAGTCGCAGTCAGGTCTTCAGGTCTTCAGGTCTTCAGGTCTTCAGGTCTTCACAGTCTGTAGAACTCTCTGGTTCTGATTCCAACACTGGAACACGGTGAATGTTCTGGCCTGATACCAGTCCTGTAACACTTTAAAGACTCTTTAAGGAACAATGTGAGGAGATGTCCAGGAGAAGGAGATGTCCTCAGATTTGTGTCAGAGGTCTCTGTTCTCCTGGTCCAGGAGGACGTCGTGCGTGGAGCGTGGATTGTGGCAGCAGCGTGGCCACGGTTGGACCTTGAAGCTGCTGAGGTGTCACCTGACTGATGTTAGAAGAAGAGCTCCAGTCTGTCCCACTGGGACGGAGGACACGTCCTGCAGTGGAACCTTATCTGCACACACCAGTGTTCCATCATCACATCAAGTGTGGGAATACTGAGAGGAGGGAGGCACGGACGGGGTGGAGGGAGGCACGGACGGGGTGGAGGGAGGCACGGACGGGGTGGAGGGGTATTTAGACCGGGGCAATTTGAAGATGTTTTGAAGGAATATATATGAAGTGACGTCAGATAACCAGGTGTCTCAATACGAGGTTCAGGGTCCGACTGACGTAGACCACCGAACGCATCCTCATGTATTGACCTTCAACCAGCGCCCCCTGGTGTCCAGGGGGGATTCCAGGTGGCGCTGCAGTGAAGAATGTGAAAAACACACATTCATATAAAGTTTACATTTAGAATGAGTTCCAAAAGTCTTTGGATTCACTTTATTCTCTTTCATGTTTCCATTTCATTTGATTGAGTTTTTTTTTTTACACCCTTGTCTTAGAACTTCTTGACTAGAATCTGTGTTCTCCTTCTCCAGCCTGGAACCCTGCAGGTTCCTCAGGAACAGCGTGAAGAGTGAAGTGGACAGAACCTCCTGTTGGGAACAGTGTGTTCTACAGAGGGGGGGGGGGGCATTAACCCCCACCACATGCCTCCATGTTCCGGGGTCTCCGGTGTGAATCCCATTACCCCACGCTCAGGATGCAGCGTCGACGTGACGGTACGAGTCCACCGGTCTGCTCCAGGACACGGTCCTCCGTCAGACCTGGACTCTGGTCCTTCAGACCTGGACTCTGGTCCTTCAGACCTGCAGTTGCTGATGTAACACTCTGATGTAGCGCCACCCACAGGACACTGATGAACCCACTCTGTTGCCCAGACTGGTGCCTGGATGTGGACAATAAAAGATTTTTACAGATTGACCATAAAACTACAAAAACCAAAATGTTTTTTCCCCGACTTTTACCAACTCTGGAGTTTTTACCCCGACCTGGTGATTCTTGGGAACATTTCAAAGTTCCACCTGAGGCTGAGAACACGTTCCCTGTGGGAAAGTGGTTCCTGGTAAGAACTCGTGTTCCTGGTTTGGAGTGAAGTGACTGCAGCGCCGCCTGAGCCCAGGATTATCTGTCTGTGTCCTCTGCAGCACTGACACACATTCACCCACTCACAGTCTATCACTCGTCCACAGAG